CAGAAACAAACAGAAAGAGATAGAATACATTTCGAAGAAATTGCAATCTTACGATTGGAAGACATACCCTCATAGATGTCTTCTTATCTTAGATGATTTGCTCTCATCCTTTGTTAAAGAACAGAGAACAAGACATGTGTCGAATTCTTAAGAAGCTCAGACACTTTAACATCTCAGTTGTCATTTGTGTACAGACAGCAAAGAGTTTAAGTAAGGATGTTAAAAGAATACTTACTGACATTATACTTTTCCCGGATTGTCCGAAGACGATTTCATGGAACTTATGAAAGAGTCCATGGCAGGTAAGTTTGACAGACATGAACTATGGGAGAAGTATAAAGTCATACAAGACCCTCATACTTCTTTCAGAATTCATATCTACGCAAACAAAGTTCAAATTGTAAAAAGTCAAGCTTGAAAAATAAAGAGTTCATTTACTCTACTTGTTTGAAGTTGTCAAAATACTCTGTTATTTTTTCTTTAACAATGGCAAATCTTCTTTGAATGTAAGTATTGTACAACCTTTCATATCATAGTGTGTTTGAGGTAACGTATCTTGAACTATTTGTTTCACATCTTCATTTGGGGTCATTGAAATCGGTAAGTTTTCGCGATAGAACCAATTTCTGTCAGATTTGTAATCTTAGCAAGTCGTAAAAGCTTTTGTTGTTCTTCTGACTAAATGCAACATAACCATATCTCTGTCTTCTTCATTTTCCATCTCTTCAGTATAATCATATACTTATAGTTCTTTTCCTTTCCTTTTGGTACCGAACGTGGTATTCTTTTCTGAATGCTTTTGTCTTTTGCTTCAATGACTTCATCTTTTGCATGAGTTCTTTTCCATCTCTTCACGTTCTTGTCTGTGAAGTTCGTCAAGAAGTCTGTAAATATACCAAGCATAACGAGGTGAAGCCCCATTGCTACGGCATTTACAAGAAGTCTATGTACATAATATCCTCTTAAATTATTGGCAAATTTTTACGATTTTCATGTGTTTTATGCAAAGGCCGAGAATTCTCGCGATCTAGATGAATTTCACTCAAAAGTTCTTGTGTGCGATTCGGTGTTTTGAACCAATTCGTCTGCGTGTTGGTATCTGGAGCAAAAACCATGACAGTCAAAATACTTTGCATTCGTACATATCGTCTTTGAGCCGAACGAATTAGACGAGTTGTTTGTTAAACTTGTATGTACTCGTATTCTTCATTTATGCTTCATGGACTATAACTGTTGTTTGTTTCTCTGTTGTTGACATATCTGTCTTTATATTCCGGATAAAAAAATAAATAAAAATAAAACTAACTTTATTTTTTATTTCGGGGAAAATTCATGACAATTCAATGAGGTGAGAAAAAGAGGTGAAAAACAGGTGAGATTCACCACTTCACCTAAACATTATTTTTGCTGAAAAAGTTGTCATTTTTCATGTCCGAAGACTCGAAGGTGCAACACTTCCAAAATACCGACGAACCAGAAGAGCAGCATGGCAGTATCTTCTTGACAACTTCTATGATTCTCCAGGTTAACCCTTGAAAGTGCTGGAAGAACGTCCCGACACAGAGAATTTGCGAGAAATTGCCACTCCAATACTACCTTGAACAAAACAAAGGTAAACCAAAGGGTAAATTAAAGACTAAAACTTAAACGTTTAAAAAGTTGAATTTTTATGACTCCGAGTCACCGAGAAAACCTTGTTCAGTATTTAGCAAGCTTACTTCCCCGAGGAGCGATGGGAAGCGTTACATACATCAGGTTCAAAAACAACAACCTGGAGATATGCGTACACAATTCGCATTAACATGACCAGGAAAGAGACGAAAGGTCCTACAAGAGAAACAAGCTCTAAAACAATTCAGAAAAGAAAGAATAAAAAGTTTAACTCGTAATTGTTGTATTTTTTTTACTTGTATGGGCAAGTCTGCAAGAATGAAGTCGACTATCTCAGTCTTTGTTTTACCGAGCTGAGACGGCTCTGGCGAGTACGTCTGTTTTGGCCGGGTCTCCAGCTGGTTGTCTGACCTTCGTAATTGCGCATGTTCTTGAAGCTCCAACTGTAAATGGTTGTAGGATGAAGAAGTCTCTCAGACTGCTTGAGGTATCTTCACGGTGCCCGACCGGAATCTGTTGGTAACGAGTCGAATCGGTCGATTTGAGGGAAAGAGAGTGAGAGCCCTGTCTTCTTCCATTGGGGTAGTAGCTACTCTTTGCGTACGGTTCAGACCTTCTCGAACTTCTTGGTCTCTCTTGGATTGGAAGATTGGGAATTGCTGGGGAGCGTTGCTAAACATCCAAGGGTTGGGGAAGTAAGGCATAGGTTGAGGAGGGTAGTTCGGGAAGCCTTTGTTGGTGGGTATAACCTTGAGGTGGGAAATTGGTAGAAATGGAGGTACTTGTGGAACTGAGGTTGCCTGAGGAAGACTGTTTTGTGGTTCTGCAGCTTTCGGTTCTTCTGGTTTGGGGAATGAATCTGGGTGTGGTGGGACGTCGGAACAGTTCGTTGGTGTCCCTGTGGGATGGACAATATTTT